TCATATATTCAGTAATATATAATTATAAAAAAAATTTGTATGAAATATAATATACTTTTACCGAATTCCACGCCTGTTAAACGCACGGAATTCACCTGTTTAATGCGAGAAAGTATCATCCAGAAAATAATTGTAATGTACTTAAATATAGAAACCAATAAGAAATTATATTTAGGTATAGATATAAGTACGAGAAAAAAAGTACTTCGGCACAATATCTAGGTATTGCACAATCCTAAAAATAATTAGTACACACAGACAGTAATCCTAAAAATAATTAGTACACACAGACAATCATTTACGTGTCATTGACATATCATTACATACTACTATATGAGCTGTTTAATTGTATCGAACTTCAAGTTGATTGCTAAAATCAAACTTTCTTACAATATTTATTACACTTGTCCTAGAGCGTCCTATATAATTATTTTGATTTTATAATCCAATAAAATTATTTTTAGATCTATATCTAGCTAAATTTTTTTAGATACTTCAGCATAATTACTCCTTCTATAGATCTGCAATCTATATTATTATCTCACGCATACATATACATAAATTTTCATATAACAATAACGTTTTAATTAAAAGTCCAATTCTAAGAACTTCACGTTGTTTCTTCGTGCAAACCATTAATCTGTGGACTAGTTGGATTTTGTAAGCTGCAGATTGCAGCTACAGATTGCAGAACTTTTATATGAAGCAAATTATCACGACATGACAACTCCATGGCGCCTTTGGATTAAGAAATAATAAAGAAGGTCTCAATTTCGAAAATTTTTGCCGTTCTCGATATAAACTCCATCTTACAGACATGTATTAATGCGTATACTTTAATCTTGGAAAAGGATTTTCGAATCTATGAAAAAGAAAAAAATAATTGTTATAAAATTATATATAGTTTAGTCGGTATAGTCGTTATATGATCGGTATGGTCGTTAAACATTTCATACTTTTTTTTATACATATAAAAAACTGACAACTACAATAACTTCGAATAAAATGATATTTATATATTTCAGCGGTTTTCATCAAATATATTTTGTATAATATATTTGGCAAAACAATTTTTTGTTAATACTATAATAAGTTAAAAGCTGAGTATTAAAAACCAAACTTTACATTGAGCTGTTTAGTTGTATCGAACTTCAAGCTGATTGCTAAAATATTAAATCTTCTTACAATATTTATCACACTTGAGCGTCCTACATAATTATTTTGATTTTATGGTTCAATAAAATTATTTTTAGATCTATAACTAGCTAAATTTTTCATAGATACTTCATAATTATTCCTTCTGTGAGTCTGCAATCTATATTATTATCAACTTCTTAAGTAGCATACAGCGCTTAGAAAGCGCTCAAAAAGTGCATATAATCGCTTTTTAGCACTTTGCAAGCGCTGCTGTGTCACTTGCGTTTATTTCTGATTGTTTTAGGGGACGTTTTCGCCAGAAGCGTACGAGCCTCTGTCGAACCTGCAAATTTTGAATTTAGGTAACAACGTACTCCATTGGTTACATCAGAGCATATTCGAGCACATTGCCGACCTCAAGGTGTTGAATCTGTCCGGAAATCCTTTCGGTGTGTTCGATTATCGTACGTCCATAGCGATCAGTAGTTTGTCGTATTTGGAGGAATTGGACATCAGTTACTGCGAATTGCGAGAACTACCGAATTTTCAGTTCCATAATGCCAAGTAAGGAACCGAAAAGTATACGATTTTTTTATAGTTTTATCATAATTATGTTATGCATCACTCAAGAACGACGTTTCCTAAAACCTTCGCTACTCTTAGACACCTGAAGAAACTGAACCTGACTAGCAACCAGCTCACAGTTCTGCCCAAGTCATTGGAAGAGGCCAGAACCTTGGAGTACCTTAGTTTGGATGACAATCCGATACGCGCTATCGATCGCACAAATGCTTTCCCCAACCTAAAGATGCTACGAGAGCTCAGTCTACGCGGGATGCTGAATCTGACGGTGATCGGGAACGGTGGGTTATCGGCATTGACTGGCCTGGAGAGTCTCTACATACAGAATTGTTGGAAATTAGGGAGGATCGAAGAATATGCGATAGCGTTCACGGTACGTTGATAGCCGACGGTAAGCATGCCAATGCTGTTTACGATATAATTTGTCGCGCGTTGTCCGCAGACCACCGAGGGTACGATATGGCCGCCGTTGAAAAAGCTGAACATGGTGTCCAATAATCTCCGGTATTTACCGATGCTACTCATTGGAAGATGGGACAAGCTCGAGGAATTGCGCCTGACGGGCAACCAGTGGAACTGCGATTGCGATAATCAATATCTGGTAAATTCCGACAATCGAGCAATGTGCGATCAGTCGAGGAAGAAAACAAAAGAGTACAATGAGAGAAATGTTTTGCTATTTATGATAAAATAATTATAATTAGGGACTCTCCCAATCAAAACAACAAGTCACGGTAATGTGTCAAAATGACATTAAAATAAATCGTAAATGATATTTTGAAATCATTTTGATATTATAATGACTTAAAACTTATTGTTGTTCTGCTTGAGCTATTTCTCTATAGTTAATATTTTATAATGTTAGTAATAATAATAATTATATTCATAGTTCTTAATAAAAAATTATAATTGTTCGAAAAACGTGATCATAATATTATACTTATAATTCTATATAAAAAAATATATAATTGACTCTAGACTATAATATTGTAATTATTTTTGGCCATCTATACTTGTTTATATAGAACTATAAATATAATTATTAATATTATAGTAGTAATAACTAAGAATGAAGCTCTTAATCGTAATTATTCTGTCCATGAATTAGTATAATCATAAATACCAAACGCTTTTCTGTAGAAAATCCCTTCACTCGTATCGTTCCTTCGTTTCAATTGGGTTGCATACAGTAATTAACGGCTTATTTCTCGCAGATCGGGACTATATTGCCGGAATATGGCGAGGCACTAATGGGAGAAAACGAGGTCGACGAGCTCACCTGTTCCGCGCCGCCAGAACATGCAGGGAAGAAGCTCGCGTCTCTGGCTGATCGACATCTACGCTGCTTGGATCTGTATAATGCGAGACCGGAAAAGGATGCCGCGATACTCGTAGGAGTGTTGATCGGCCTACTTATCGCGATCCCAATCAGCATGACCTTCTTCATCCTTTGGCGGCGCGGCTTCTTCTTCTGTGGATCGCAAGGTCCTGGCAGCTTCTCCCGTGCCTTCTACAAACGCGCGTCCAATGACGATGACATTTAAACCCCACACACACACACACACACACACACACACACACACACACACACACACACACACACACACATACACACATGCACACACATGTTATATATACATAGTTTTTCTATCGCACCAGGAAAGAGCAATTTTGCTGAAGTATCTAAAAATTCAATTAGGTACAAAATCTGAAAAGAAATTTGTATTACTATTAAAATAATTATGTAGAATGCTTAAACGTTGATGACAGTCTGCTGCGAAAAGTTTTAACATTTTAGCAATCAGATTAAGTCCACTATCAATATTATGTCCTACATAATAGTTGAACATGATAGTTGAACAAAGTTATTTTCAGATCTAGCTATTTTTTTGATACTTCAGCAAAATTTTCGTGCAGTCGCTCTTTTTTGATAAGACTTTGTTCTATATCTATCTATATTATAAGCAAATCGAGAAATAATGAGAAATACATAAAAGGATATAATATGTAGATTGCAGCAGAATCTAGCAAAATCCATACTGCCAGATAGCAAGCGAATGTAGGTATCTAGTCTAAGCTTTCACAAATACGCATAGCGTACCTTTTATACGTATGTTTTGTTAGAATATTATAAAGCGCTGTGTCGGAGTCGCGCGGGGCGAGGTATATGTACATTTCTTTGTTCGAATAAACACTACATTACGAAACGCAACCCGCCGCCGTATGATGTGCATGACGCTCCGCAATAAACAAACTTGAAAATTAATACGTGCTACCTGTTTTGCTCTCACGCCTAACGAGTCCCAAGAGGATCCGCGAATCTCGGCGGAGGATGTTGCCGAGCCGCGCTGAAACCCCGGACGATGGATTTTCGGCTTTACGAGCAGAGCTGCCGGAGGGCGGCTCTCATTCTCTTTCATTCTCTCTCTCTCTCTCTCTCTCTCTCTCTCTCTCTCTCTCTCGGCGCAAATGCGCGGAGGGTGCGAGGGATGGAGGGTTGCGCGACGCCGAGCGACGTCGGGCGACGCCGAGCGATGTGCAACGGGCGGACGCACACGGATGGACACGCGCCGGTAACGCAATTACCGTGACGTTAATTTACTCAATAATCGCAGAAGCAACCCCGTCTAAATGTCGGCACGCGTCCCTCGACCCTAATCATAGCCGGCCGTCGTCACGCCTGCGAGAGATATCGTCGAGATATGCGAAAAGCCGAGATTCGAGAGATTAACGATAATTAAGATCGTTAAAATGTAAGATTTCTTTGATTCTTTTTCTTTTCTCTCTCTCTCTCTCTTCCTTAAGATGTTTATGCTATCTTCAATATGGAAAAAAAAGTGTTACGTTTATCTCATCAAAATTTTCTGGGCTCAGTCGACGTCCACTTCTAATTTCTAGCTCCTTCTAATTCATTCACATATTTTTGGACTTTGTACTATATGTTTATCGTACAAAGATATATGTGACATAGTCATCTCATCAAACGCCACGCGATTGTACCGCCATTTGGAAAGCGCCCCGTATACACGAGCCGCTAAGTAATTTAATCCCACGTTTCAGCTCGTCCTCTCGTCCAAGATTCAATACCGATGCAGCCTGTCATTGAGTGGAGTACCGCGCGTCATACGAAAAATCCGAAACTATGTTTCGATGAGGGATGCGGGAGTTAAACCGAAGCGTTGCGATCGTAACGATGAGCGAAAAAGCGATCGGTTTCGGTCGTCCTTTCGAGTATATCGACACTTTCGACATGGAGCCTTACCTACGAGATAAAGAGACGGAGAGAAATGGTTTTGAAATACTCTTATACCATCGAGGAATCGTCGCGCGTCGCGCACGTATAATGGATAGCCAGCAGGCAAGCCGGGCAAGCGCGAGGGGATTTTCGTAACGTACTCTTACATATACATGCTTGCACTTTGTATTATTATATCTACGTGCGAGAGCGCGACAGAATGGGGAGAAATCGCGAATGCCGAATACAGAAGGATCGGAGTCCCTCCTGCCCTTCCGCGCCCTCCGTTGCCGCGGCCGCCTCCTCAGCGCGGGACGTACGTCGTTGGATTCACGAATACCCGAGCGCGTGTCCATGGAAACGAGTGGCCGAGACCCGCCCTCGGGATCGTCGCGGAACCAACCCGGGCGACGGTGAGCGTCGCGACGCCGGCCAATGCGGGACGTCAGGCCGGCCTCGAAACTCGGATACATTCGGATCCAAGCGTTACCCTTCCACGGTACGTTACGAGCTGTCGCGGTACGCCAACTGACAGGAGGGGCCGCCGATCATCGCCGTTGCGGGGGGTTGAACATTGAATCACCCTGATACGCGCTTACCGATACGCGTCTCGCACGATGTCCCGATCAACGACGGCGAAAGACAGTGAGCGATAGACGACGTCTCGCGCGATTCATATCTGATCCATGGCACCGCGCGACCATCATTCATCAATCACGATTCCGTCGTGGAATAAATTCGCGGGACGTACGATGTCCGATTAGTTGAAACCAGGTCGGGCTAAAGTGGTCACCGACTTCGCCGAGGGTATCGTCGATCGCGATACGCATTTCGGGAGAAAAGTGATCAGTTTCGAGAGTGATTCCGCGAGATTCTATCTTCCCGCGATCGGAGATTGAATAAACGTTCAATTATTAGGAGATTTGGAACCAGTCCTCTCTCTTTCTATTGAGGGAATTTAAGAAAAAGAAGAACCAGCATTGGCATTTAAACCCACCCAAACAAAGTTCGTTGCATCTCTAGCCCTGGCCGTCTCTTTTGGCACAAGAAACTGTGTTCGTGTCTCGGATCGTCGCGGCTGGCAAGGATCTCCCTTCGATTTCGCGACCTTGGCGTCGCGCCAAGACACCCGGGCGAGAATGTAACCGCGACGATCGGAGGCATGTACGCGTCATAGCCGCAACGTTGTGTTGAACGAGAAAAGATGCAGTCGACCTGCCAGCAGCAACAAGCTCAGCCAGGCCAAAACGGAACTTCCGCCAGCAGGACATCGTTCCTCATCGAGGATATCCTTAGTCGCGGCACCGTCACTCCGCACACCCATCATCATCAGCTGCACCATCAACATTTGACGTCAACCTCCGGCCACGGACAACACCATCAGTATCAGCAGTTCGCCAGTTTGCTACCCGGTTATCCCGCGGCACCACCCGCCGCGGCGGCCTTCTTCTTGGGTCCGCTCTTTGGTAGCGCTGGCATGGGGGTTGGTGTAGTGCCAGGAGTCGGGGAACTAGCAGCTCTTAAACATTGCCGACGACGGAAGGCTCGGACCGTGAGTACATCCTCGATATTCCCTTCACTCACCCCATTGACGCGAGTATTCCCGATGCGTCTGCATCTAAAGTGGAAATCGAGATGTCGCGCCTATGAAAAGAACAATTTTGCTAAAATACCTAAAAATTTATAAGTTACATACAGATCTAAAAATAATTTTATTGAATTAATTATTAAATAATTTTATTAAAATAATTATATATAATATATAAAATGCTCAAACTGGTTGCTAAAATTAAAACTTTTTTCATCATTGCTCATTATATTTGAGTGTTGTACATAATAATTTTGTCTAATAGTCTAAGAGATTATTTTCAAATCTGTCTAGTTAAATTTTTAAAAACTTCAATAAAATCATTCTTTCCATGCATGAATAATACTTTGTATTCGCAAACTGTAAACGTCAAGTACATTTTCTACACGAAACAAAAAACAAATTATTTAAAAATTTAGACACCTAAATACAGATTTGAAAATAATTTTATTGGTTCATCACAATTTTATGTAATAAGCAATAATCCTACAAAATGTTTTAACATTGTAGCAACCGGCTTGAATAATTATTTTAATAACTCCAATAAAATTATTTTTAGATCTGTATCTCGTTAAATCAGATAGTTTTAACAAAACTCTTCTTTATCAAATCGTCGATTTTAAAATCAATCAGAGACGAAATGTAAATCAAACTTGTGTAAATCCTGCGTGCAACTATTTACAACATGAGGCATAATATCTGACGTTACCGAATAAACAATTCTTAGTTTGTTTATTTTTCTTCCTTTTTATCGTTCTAGTTACGTATTTTTTTTGTCTTTTCCCTCCACTTACCTCTCACGATTGTAGGAGATAAGAGTTTGGTTCCTTACGGCTCAGGTATTCAGTGATCAGCAGCTGGCAGGTCTAGAAGCGAGGTTCGAGGTACAGAGATATCTGAGCACACCCGAGAGAGTAGAACTGGCGGCGGCGTTGCACTTGTCGGAGACCCAAGTGAAAACATGGTTCCAAAATCGACGGATGAAGCACAAGAAGCAGCTGAGGAAGCTAAACACAAGCGGCAACAATAATTCTAATTCAGGCCAGCAATCGATATCCGTAACGTCGCCCGCTGGTGAGTGAAGTCCATTTCATTCTCCACGTTCGCCGCTTTTGCTTCGATGGATGGGAAAATGTAAATCGGTTCCGTTACATTATATACGCTGCGACGTCACGAGCGTGATTTTCGAGGGAGAGAGAACGGATCTGGAACGGTTGTAACGAGGCGTTTACGGCGCGCTATTGAACGATAATGCTTAAAGGACATCGCAATCTACGGCATCTACGGAATTTCGCATCGAGTAGCATCCGCAACGCGTAACTTAATTACCGACAAATTAAATGCGCGTATCGACTTTTCGATAAACAGCTGCGAGCAGTATTCCCGCGCCGCGAGCTAATTAACTTGGATTAATGACGCCGTGTCCTAGATAAACGGGAAACTCATGAATGGCTGCGCGACGTGCCGTTACGATAGAAAAACATTATACGCGTACCTAGATCTAGGCTAAACTTGGATAAAACTGCCATTCTTCATGATATAACACTGTTTGTTAAAGATAACAAAAATTAAAGTGTTGCTTTTTGCATTTTAAGGTGACCATTTTACCTAATTTTACTCTAAAAAAAGGGGGCGAATTCGCAAATTTTTCAAATACAATCTCTTTGGAGTAGTG